CAAGCGTGGGTGCACAGCTGAAGGCACTCTCAGAGCCCCGAAGATGGCCTCGAGGTGGCATGAGGGCTGCCAGCATCCCGAAGGGTTCAGGTTCGATCTCAGCTTCACCGGAGTTGTGAAAGAGCATGCACTGTTGGGAGACAGTGAACAGTCCCTGAACTAGCCCACACCTGGAACTTGAGAGGGCACCAAACCATGCGCGGATGCAGCTGTCGGCTCTGAGGCTGGGGATTATCCATGTAGGGAGCGTGCAAGCAGAACCCGAGTAAGGTGAAGCTCCTGCGTTCTGCCAGTGATGGAGGCGGCACAGCATGCGGCGAGACGGGCCAAGTACCTGCGGATAAAGGATGCGGCACCAGTCTACAGCGGGTTGGGAGACAAGTGGGAGGCATCTACCCGGGGGCTGCATGGGGATCTGTGACCAATCAAGATGCATGAACGGCACAGAGTTGACTAAACAGCTGGCATCAGCATCGACACCGTATCGGCGCAAGGGTGGGTCACTGCTGCGGGCGGAGGGCAACCTCCAACTCCGCGCCGGGTGCAGCTGGAAGCGCGACCGCCTAACTAATAACCAGCATCGGCAAGAGTGTAAATGCATTGCTCGCCAAAGGGGCACACGGCAACAAGGCTGTACTGACATGTATTCGCCTGCAGTCCCAACGCACAAGTGCAGCCAGGGAACACCAGGGTCCTTAGTCCATCGTGTTGAGATCCAGCTTGGCATCCCTCGGATTGGTTGCTGTTCGCCCCGATTGATCCGCGGCTGAGCTCGACATCGAGGAACCCGAAAAAGCCAGGGCACGAGCATGTCTCCGCGCATCAGCTTGTGATATTGTGCAAACGGGCGGTCCCAATGGACGGGTAAGGGCGAGGGCTGAGGCTGGGAACCGGAGCCCAGGCAATTTAATGCTGCAGTTGAGACGCTTACCAGCTTCGACGGATACCTTCGCTGCATCTGATGTAGCCCCATCCAACCATCTCTGAGCACTGACGCCGCGTCCCAAATCACCACGAGCAGGGTCAGAATTTGTGGAAGCCATGCGTGCATCCGGTCGCGGTGATTGTCCGAAGAGTAAGTCAGAGGCACCGAGAATATGGCGTGCGCACACAGTCCTACCCTGAACGCCCTGAAGAGGGGAGGGGAAGAAGAAGGGCAACACCCGAAAAGAAGGAAGGGCAACACCCACGAGACCCCACAACACCCAATAACCCCGGGCGCATCAATAAGCTTTGGGCCCAGACGCTTGGCAGGAGTGGTGGTGGTGGTGGTGGTGGTGGTGGTGGTGGTGGTGGTTTGTTTGAACCGCAGCCAGGCAGTCCGGGCGATGCGACAGGTCAAAGAGGTCAGTGACATCGTCACCGGTTACGCAGTGGCAACACGCATCTTATGTGCGTACCGAGGGCTCAAAACCTCGTCACGAGTGACGAGGGACATAGTAGAAAAGGGTAGCAAAAAGTTGCGACAGCTCAGCTCTACACAGCTAGCCTTCACAAACGCAGTAGCTCGCATTTACATCGTATTTACATGCAAACTGCAGCTCACTCCACTTTAGGCTCAGGCGGCAACTCAGCAACTCAGCTCAACTCAGCTCAACGTGGTGGTGGTGGTGGTGGTGGTGGTGGTGGTGGTGGTGGTGGTGGTGGTGGTGGTGAAGGTGGTGGTGGTGGTGAAAGTGGTGGTGGTGGTGAAAGTGGTGGTGGTGGTGGTGAAAGTGGTGGTGGTGGTGAAAGCAGTTGTTGGTCGGCGCTCATTTGCTCGTCCGTGTCTGTAGAGTTTAGACAACGCATGTCAGCCATCAGCCTCAGAAGCAGGATTTCCATCGCACGTGAAAGAAGACAAACGCATACAAAAAGCCGAAACGAAAGCGCAAAGCCGCATGCAGAACAGGAAAAGTGTGATGCGTGCTGAAATTGGCACAACGTCCCTCCACTCTCCTGGCCATCCAGTTTCATTTGCACCAAGTGCATCGCCAAGGCATACTCCGCGAGGGTCAAAAAGCCATCCTCTGCCAGGTGGCTCGGCCGTGGCCGAAATCAGCAGTCCCACAAGCAAGCAATCACACATGATTGAGTTTATTGGCACTGAGAGTCATGTGAGACTAAACGTCCTTCGCAAGATTTAACATTACAACTCCGTTGGGAGGGTTGGAGGGCGGGAGCCTGCAATGTCAAAGCTGCCCGCTGGAGAAACACCGGGGGGCCTTGTCAACGTCGGCGAGGGACCAGATTCGATGCAGCACATTCGAGGGCAGGTGGCTCTGTCAGGTCACAGCAGCCGCAGTTTTTCCTGATGTGAGCACTTGGCGTGGCGCGCCTCTACCATCTTCTGCTTGGCTTGCTGAGCATTGATTTTTCCCTCCACGGGATGCAGTCCATCAAAGTCAGCCTGAACAGAGCACGCCAAGCGCACATGAGCCTCCAGTTCTGCATATTTGTACTGCATCTGCCCACGGATCTCCAAGATGTTGGGCGGAGGGCGACATGTTGCAGGCATGAGTGAGAGGGAATCAAAGATACAGCAAACGCTCACCACCGGAATGCGCAGCCTACCTGAAACTGCTCAACTGTGGGCGGTCGTTGCCACTGGCCCTGCGCAGCTTGTGGGCCAAGCGCTGGTCTATTTGCAGTGCGAACACTCTGCGAACCTTGTACACAGACTGCTCGGTATTGCCCTCCACTTTCATCACGGCGAAGGGCGAGGCCATGCCAACAATCTGATCAAAGACCAGCACCACCATGCCACATGTGTGTGGGCTTGAACCCGCATGCCACCCGGTGTCCTGGGCCACAGCTGCCTCCTCAATTCCATACCGAACCTGCTCCTGCGCTGATGCGAAACAAATTTAGACATATGCTCAGGTCATCTCAAGCCCACAGGTCCAAGAACGGGTCGACAAAGTATGAGGCAGTATAAGGATGCCAGGACACCGCCCTCAACATCCATAAAAACGCATAAAAATTCTCATGACATTGCAATCAACTCCACAGGCACCCATCACACCAACTCAGACTGGCTGCTTCATATCACGAGGAACCTGTCAACAGAAGCCGTTTTGCAGAAGAATCTGAAGAAGCCGATGGAAATCATGATGCAAAGGACAGCAAAGACTCAACAGCCGCCGCTATCGTTGGATGTTCCGAACTGATGAATCCAATGCAAAACAAACCACACCTGAACCCTGGCTGGCTATAGTGCTGAACTTGGTCACCTACGCATCCGACTGGACATGCATTGTTTCACACCTCATGTCAGCCACCGCCATGCCAGCCCTGTCGGTGGGCCAAAGCCGGCGACCAAACACATCAACGTGGTCAACTTCCATGAAGTCAAAGAATCCTTTCAAAGATAAATCGTGTCCGTCCCGTGTCCTCAGGAATCAATTGCAGCAGCTTTGGCAAGTCCACGGCTAGCAGGGCCTCCACTGCCTTGGAAGAAACACGTCGCAAAAGGCCTAACATGGTTGCAGACCACTTTGTAGCTGTGCCTGCAACTTCTCCGGGTCCACTGGCTTGAACGTGGAGAAATCCATCGGGGTGAGGATTTGCTGCGGGGGCAAGCTTGTACAGCCAAGCACATGCATCACTGGGATCAAGATACAAGGACTGCAACATGATCCGACCTGCATCATTCGAGGATCTGGGAAGTCCCCCAAGGGAATGCCCTTTTGCACAGAGATCTGCAGGCAGGAAGTAAGTGTGCTGTAACATGCTTTGCAAATCTTTGCAGCGCAAGCTGGCCAGCTTGCATCCCCCGAAACCAAAACCCCTATAGACAAGGGTTGGCTTGGCTTCGATATTGACCTTCGCTGCTGACCCAAAATTTGAAGCCTGCCGTCTCCATTCATTGCTAGTTCCACAGTGCGCACGCTGGCCACAATGTATGCACAAATGCACTAAGAGGTGTCTGCGACACTGCCACATCAACTACTTATGGAACACGCCGACATCGACCAGTTGCACGACTCCTCTAGCTCGCTCTGCCACCTCTCAGACTTACAAGTGGCACATGAAAGGTGCAGCATCATCCCAACTCTGATTTCACTGGAGAGATTGCAGTGCTTGCAGCAACACCTCAAAGGGACAAAAAGCAGCCCGGCGACTTCGCAGTCTTTCCTTTGGGGGGTTCGAAAGACTAATCGGCGAGTCCATGCGCTTGGTCACTCACGATTTGCAGCTCTGGCATTGCGCGGAACACACCAAGCACTGGGCAGCTGGAAACTGAGACAGTTTGTGTCTCCTCTTTGATCGACCCTCGGTGTTGTTTTGTCAAGCATCTTCCAGTGGGTTGGATTGCACCACCGCGGAGAACAGGCAAACGGGATGAATTGAAATTGCTCAAAACTGGTGTGAAAGAAAACCCAATGTCCCAGAGCACCCAGGAAGAAAAAAGGCGAGAGTACAAAGAACGGCCAACGACAGCAGAGTTGCCGACATGGCCTCTTGATAGATGCTCGGCAACTCTTGTATCATCCTTTCCTGCTCTTTTGCATGTCCAAAAAATGTCGGCATCCTCTTGTAGAAATAGTCCTGAGATAAAAACGCGGCAAACCGCATCGCACAGGACGTGAAGGCAAGCGTGCTGAGTCAGCGTCTAGCAGCAGCGCATGAACTTTTGCCAACCGGGCTCTTTTTATTAGATCCTGAGTTGGTGCGGACAAGATCAGCTCACGAGGAAGCGATGTCTCAAGCCGTTGAAAAAAAGAACACAATTTGGCACAGAGGTCGATACTTCCTTCACCACAGAGGCCCGCACATTAACTTTCCGGAGTGATGCACTCCTTGGAAGCTGGGCAATCTTGGTGTACAGGTCATTCTCCTGCATTTGGCAATACTCCTTCGGGAATCATATTACAATGTCCTCCTGTCCTCCTGTTCGAACAACTCCCGAAGCTTCTCATTCTTCAACGGCTGATCCCAAAATGTTCCTCATGCAACATGGCAGAACTGTATTCAGCATAGGTGTGGCTGAAAGCATGGTCAGACACTGCAACATGTAGTGGATCCAATCCGACCAAGCATCCGACATAGACACGGGCAACTTCTGGAGTGTCCAATACTTTACCCAGTGACCACATCAGCGCCTTTCTCGTTCAAGAGTGAAATTCCACCTTTGGCGACCCCGAAGCTCTATGTTCTTGAAAAAACGACTTATCTGAGACTTATCTGTCTGCCGGGAGGATGAAGGTGGGTGCAACATAGGGAGGTGCGTGGACTGGGCGATGGGAATGATCAAGCAGCCACTCCCCCATTGTTTCCGGATCCTGGGCAGTTCTGGGCTGGGCGGGGCTCTGGTGGGCTCTGCAGGTGTCTAAGCTTCTCCTGGCCCGGTCAGAGTCTGGGGCTCTGGGCTCTGGTGACCGTGGGTGTCGAGTGCGGCGGGGCGTCTGTGAGACTGAGAGCCCGGCGCCATAAACTCGCATGAGCTGCTGTGTTGTGACGTTGTCCGCCTTGTTCAGCAAGATGCAGATCTTATGATCGTTGCCTCTGGTGGCCTGAATGACTCTCCTCCACCGATTCGGATCAAGCCCCTTTGCTCCCAATGCATGTTGCTACCGAATCGAATGATGTAAAAGCGCTCCTGAATTCATCACTGATGTCTAGCTTCGACACGTCGAACAACAGCAAGATCATGTCCTCAGCTGAAAAGAGGGTCATTGAGAACACGAACTCCACCGGAGCGCTTGGAGTTTCTGGAACAATCGGTAAAGGTCACCCTCAATCGAAGACGCGATTGAAGGATATTGTAAGGCATTGGATAACGAAGCTCGAACAAATGGACTTCGCACCCCAGCAAACTCGCTTTTTACATCAAATCTTGCCGTCTCTTGGCCCTCACGAGAGCCACCACTACTGGTAGCCGGTCGCAGCAGCATCATCAGCAGCGTTCGTCATGATAAACACAGTATCCTCGCCGTCTGAATCAACCAACATCACGGTTGCCATCATCATCAACAAAGAACACCATATTCAGTCATGTTTCTTCTGCACGTCCTCCTCCTCCTCCTCGTCCTTCTCCTCCTGCACCTGCTCCCCCTCCTCGCATCTTCGTCATCACCATCATCATCATCATCATCATCATCATCAATTTTCATTACCATCGTCGTGAGCGTACTGGTTGCAGTGTCAGATAGTCTGAGCACCACGATAGGCATCTACCTGCCGCAAGAACTGTGTGCATGCTGGTAAGTAACACCCTCATGAACAGAAGCATAGCTCAATATCCAGGAAGAAAGGTCTTATCAAGTGAAAACCAGCATTGAAGCAAACACTCGACCAAGGCGAGAAGACAACCGTTAAAAACTGACAGTTCCAATACGTGAACAGGACGCCCAGTAGGCCGTAGCAGGCACCAGTACCACAGTTCAACGCCGAAAGCATCTGAGGTGCGCACCACACGTTCCGCAAACCACTTCACGACAGCCTCGAACTCATAGCCCCTGTTCCAGGGAAACAACCAGAATTCATGGCATGCTTGTCGATTGCACTTCATCTTGGCCGACCGCCAAACCTCTTTTTCGGTAACTTGCACGAACAAAATAAAAGTCCAGCTCGCATCGACGTACCCTGCAAGCGCGCATTGTGGAAAACATACCGTCCCATGTGAAGTGTTTCACCACACTGGGAATCAAGCAACGAAGCTCTGGGTGCGAGTAATTGCGGCCTGCATTTTAAGATTCACGGGTGGGACACCCGCTATAGGTGTAGATGTTCTAATTTCAGGTTGTGCCTTCAGGCTTCAAAGTCAAATTTCGGGTTGAAGCGTTAAGGTCTTCGGCTGTTCCGGTGCAGGATTTTCTGAAACAAGTATGCGAACTGGTGCACTTACGTTGGAAAAAACCTTAAGAACCTGCACACATTCGGCAAGCATCCCATACAGGAATTTCAAGGATGAGTTACGAGACATGCGCAAGCATGGGAGTACACGCGACAACACGTCAACCCGGCCACCTGTTGCACTTTTTCTCAAGCTCACTGAGGCAAAGTGAACATCGTGCAAGGAATGCAATAACAGACACGGCAAGCTTCGCAACGCAATGGTATATGGGTGGCCTCTACCGGAAATACACAATGAGCACTGATTCACAATGCTGGATGCTAACATATCTGTATTCCCTTTCAAACAAGTCGGCCTGCTCCGTCGCAAACTGTCAGACGTTGCTGTAGCCGGCACTGCAGCAAAAACTGTTGACATTTATCTCAGGAAAGAAATTGTATGCAATATGTGGTGCTCATAATCTTGGCTGATTGTTCCTGTGCAACGCAACGTGTCCATATGCAGTGCGATGCCAACTCTTGACGAAAGTACGCGCGCGCGCCCGGAGCATGCTGTGCAGCAGCATGTGCGATGCGTCGTCCAAATCTGCTGTGTCCCACAAGGCGATACGAACCAACAAAAGACCTGACAGCAATGCTGTGCAAAAGGCTAATTGAGATAGCAAAGACCCCAGGCGGCACACGCGACTTCACTTTTCCATGGCCTTCTTCACAAGAGTCCTGAGGTAACTAAGGGGACCTTCGAACAAAAGGGTCCGCGAGTGGAAAACACAGCTGTCTGAACATGTGATTTCTTAAATCATCCAGGAGTGCTCTCTGACCGCTCGCTGCAGTCCGAAAGACCTTAAGTCGAATCTGCACATCCCGGAATTGACATGTTCAGGACAGCCTGCCCTTTTGGGCAGTAATCTTCGCCACTTCTTCGTCTTCCACTATCACAAACTCAGCTCTTTGAAGAACCCGTCTAAACAACCCCATTGGTGCGCCACGCTTTGTGAGAACATCCACAATCATCTGCTTTGTCGCCATCCAACGTAGTGAGATGTTATACTTGGAAATGTCCTCCTTCACCAGCATCATCTCAATCGCCACTCTCTTGTCTTTCACGGAAATCATAGGCCCCTCCACGTGGTCATACACTGGTTTGCAGTCAATCACAGCTGTGATTGGTATCTTGCAGCTCCAGACATGATCTTGCCGCAGCTCGTAGGCGTAGTTTATGGCTTCACACCACATGGAACGCATCCAACGAGCTTCTGACAGACCTCGGGAAAGTGCCAATAGCTCTGCTCCCAGGGTAAAATGTGTTTGTCGGTCCTGCTTATAGCTTCGCCATCGCAGAACTGAGAACACGCCCCAGGTGCCTTGTGGCAACTTCTCGTCACAGGCTGCCACCATGTATCCTGCCTGACTGCAACACCCTTGAGCATTGGCCCATGAAGCATCTGAGAGCATAGCGAACTGCACACGTTCACATGAAATGCTCCGGATCCAAACATACGCATCACTATTGTCATGGCACATGCTCACTAACTTGTTCGTCTCAATAAGATCACCGACCGTGGCACAGCAAACACGTTGTTGTAACAGAGAACCCCACGCAGCTAAGTCCGGCCTACTACTCGTCACAAGCCAGTTAATGCCTCCTAGGACACCTCTCATCTGTCGTCGTTCCTCTTCTGTCACAGGCTCGCTGACATTCCTGCGCCTTTCACGGCTCAGTTCTATGCCCTTCATCTGACGAGCGTAGTCACCCTGACTTATCTTAATGCTTCCATCAGCATGCTGTTCCAGCTTTTTGCCCAGGAATTCACCTGAGCCAACCTTCCAGTGCTTGAAAGGAAACATGGCCTTGAGTGGTTCCAGCACATTTCTTGAAAATGCCTCATTGCCTCCCGCACATAGATCATCAACATGCAAGGCAATCACTCCAGCGATCTCATTTCCCGAGTAGTAGTAGAACAGGCAAGGGTCAAACCTTGACACCCGCATGCCCAGCTCACGCAGTTTGTTGGAAAAGCACTGCCACCATGCCTTCGGTGCATCAGCAAGGCCATAGATCGTCTTTTTAGCCTCAATGACACTTCCTTCTGGAACTCCTGGAACACCCCCTGGGGGCATATCAATGAAGATCTGACCTCGCTGAGGATCCAGTGCATCACCTCTCAGAAAGGCACCTTCAACGTCTGCAATGTTCAATCTCCATTTCTTTGAAGCAAGCAGTTGCATAGCGATCGCAAAACCTTCACTTGACAACGTCGGTGCACTTGTATCCAGCTGTAGCAAATCCGGATCAAGATAACCACGCACGCACCATCTGGCCTTGAGATCTTGAGTAGCAGGATTACTTCCCGCTTCGGCCTCCGTAATCACGAATCGTGACTTTAGAAGCCGACCTCTTGCTAGGCCTTCCTTTATGCGCTTTGCATCCTGTCCAGAGTGAACTTTGATTGCTCCACTGTCCACAAGCTTGTTCCATTCCTTCACCTTGGCTTTGTTCAACCCCTCGCGTCTCGCCGTTGGCACTTCATGATCATTCAACTCCTTCCTTCCCTTCTTGATGTTCACCTCTTAGCACTCCTTTGGTTCCTGAACATGCTCCTGCCAACCCTTCTTCAAGCTAAATTCAACGCGACCAGTCCAGAAGCCACCACGCACCAACAAGTCGTGCGTACCGGTGTCCTTCCAGTTGTACTCCTTGAACGCACGAATTCCCATACGATCAAATCCCATCAAGCAACATTGCTCCTCCAGGTGTTCAAGTTTCACAGGCATGGTCCTCTCGTCAGCCACAACAACTCCTTTCTGCTCAACGCCAAGCACACGCACAAGCTTCGACCGACTGTGACTGATCAACCAACGGTTTTCCTCAACTGCCAGCATTTGCAAGTCATCATCATCTGGCTCATTGGTGCCAGGCACTGGCACTTCATGCGCCCTAGCTTCATATTGACCCGATGATGAAGCTGCACCGGCACTGCCTCGATCAAGTAACTCTGGATTTTGTCTCATCATCATAGTCAACGGAGTTGTGGACGCCATCACCCTAGCTTTCTTAGTTGGTGACTCATCGCCAGCTCTCGGGAATGGGTTCTCTGATGGCACCACTGTCTCTTCACTCCTGCTTGATTCCTCAACTCCTTGTGTCCCGGCTCCTTCTCCTTCAAGCACAATGTCACCAATGCCACCTGCTTCTTCATTCACTGGAAGAGAACCACCACCAATGTTTCCGGCTAGATCATCCTCTGGCACTGGTACAACATCACTCTCCAACTCAACATCAGGAGGACGCTCTAACATGCTCAAGTCATGATAATTGCCTGCTCCTTTCGCACTTACTTGTCCACGAATGTGAACCATATCAGCCGGAAGCAACTTGACCATAGCTTCTTGATCTGGTGACAAGCAACGTAACTGTTCTGGGCAACACCTATGCACCTTTGTACCTTTTGCCACCCAAATTTTGGAATTCCCGGCCTTGCCAATGATGACTGCTGGTCCATGCCAATGAGCACGATTGTCGAATCTGTTCTTCCTCCACAGAAACACAAGCTGCCCAACTTCAAATGGACCACGCTCCGGACGATTGCCTTCCTGATTCGCATATCGTTGTCCGCTTCAAGAAACGCTTTCCGAGCTGCAGTGCGAAAGGCAACACGACGCTCAAAGATGGATTCACCCTGCACCAAGGAAGAGTTGATAACTGGGTCCATGTCTGAACAGATCAACCCTGGCACTCTCACATCTCTCCCAAAGACATGTTGATTAGGAGCATAGCCGTCCTTCCTAGTCATGCTGTTCACGGCATTGTTCACTTGGTCCACCAACTCCTGTACCTCCTGCTTGTTTCTTGGTCTCGTTTCAACTTGCGCCTTTGCATAAGCCGTTTTCCAAACATCGCCCCTTTTCTCCACAAGCCCATTTTGCCATGGCGAGTAAGCAGCAGACGTGTCCCCAAATGTGCCATCCAGGAGCCCGTGTTCAAACTCACCTTCAAACTCCTTGCCTCCATCGCTGAAGAGCCTAGTAGGCGCCCCAGCCCACCGTTTCCAATTCTTCCTGTATGCATTTCTGACATGCTTCGCTTGCATACCCTTCCACAGTGGCACGCACATTTGGAACCCCGTGGCCTCATCAACGATGTTCAAGAAATGCACCTTCATGTCCCGCACCTCTTGTTCAAACGTGTCAACACAAATCTGCTGATTGAACTCCGTGGCTTTTCGCAACTTAGTCACGTGATGTGCTTTTGGCTTAGACAACTCAGCACAAGTCTCACACTCTAAACCCCTTGCAAGTTTCAGCACTCTCTCGCTCGCATGTGCGGCCTTCAGTAACATGTTCATGCGCGCAGGAGAAGGATGACCTAAGTTCTCATGACATCGCTTCAAGATCGTCATCACCTTGCGATCATCAAGAGCCCCATCACTTCTCAAATCATCAACAGAATACACACAATGCGCAGCCTGCACCTCATCGACTGTTGCTTGACCCTCAGCACACCAGCCGCCACATCCTTCATGAAGCATCTCGGATCCTGCAACTCACGCACGGTCAGCCAAGTCTTCTGAGCCTGCTCGCGAACATGCTTGCGATTAGTGTACAGACGCCAGCTGCTGTCAGTGTCCGTTCTCTCAACACACAACGTCGTCTCGTCTTCTCTGTGCTTCTTCCACTGCTTCACTCTCTCACTCAGGCACTCATTCACTTCCTCAAGACAAAACAACCTGCCCTCACAGCGCTGTTCAGCACAACAAGCAGCGACAAGTCGTGTGTAAGCAGCACGATACCTAGCATGATAAGTCCTGTTCAAATGCGCCCCTCCCCTAGTCCGTGTCATGTGATCTGGAGGTCGCATGAGCAGCAGTCTGGGCTTGCACTGACGAATCTTTTCCAGGGCGCTCGCCACAGTGCTTGCGCTTCGAACATGGGCTTCCAACCCACGCCTACACAGCTTCTTCTCAGCATTACTCATACATGAAATCGCACCGTTTGTCGATGCCTGTGCCTCTACAGATCGGCCGTTTCCTCGAGCTCCTCCAATTGGTGTGTGAGCTCCTCGATCCGCTGACGTAGTAGACGCCGACGACGATCCTGTGCTGACTCTCCGACTTCCTGGTCCTGAGCCACAATCCACTGATCCTCCCAATTGTGACTCCCCTGTTCGGAAGCTGCACCCTGCGTCCTGGCACTGCCCAGCGATGGCACGGTTGCCCTGCTCGTTGTCTTTGGCATAGCCTGGGCCGTCGACCTGGCCTTTGGCCTCGATTGCATCAACATCGGGGCTTGGCTGCTGGTGCTGTTCCTGATTGGCGATGCAGCCGGGTTCATCATGATGCGCTGCGATTTTGCCTGGTCCCGGATGGCGATGTAGAGCCTGAACTGCGTCATCGTTGGGTGATTCGTCTTGTCTGGTGCAACGGCTCGCCCCTTGATGAACTTCCTCACCCAGGCCACATACTTCTTGTCGGTCTCGTACGCTACCTTGAACGTCATGAGCTGCCCCGTTTTCTGGTACTTGCCCACGTTGAAGATCCTCTGTCCCAAGTAGCCTTCGACTCCTGGCACAACGGCGTCTCTGTCGTCGTCGCTGTGATCTGCTGCCTCGTCCAGAATCTTCGCATCTATGTCCGACATTTGGTCCTCCGCCGCTGCTTGGTTGGCGACCTGGTTCATCAGATCCGCAATCAAAGCGGACGACCTTGTGCCGGTCATGGGCGTGTCCATCCCCACTTCTCCGGTGTAGCTCATGACTCTGCGAGTTGGCCGAAACGATGTAGGCACTATCGGGTCCTGCTTGGGCAGAAAACTCTGCGGCATTCACTTCGTACGTCTTCGCTTCCCTCTTCCGAAGCACATTCGCCTTGCCCACGCACTTCTCAAAGCCCTCGAAGAGTGGTAAGGCGTAGTGCCCTCTCTCGGTCTCCCACAGCTTGATACTCACTCCGTAGCGACCAAACTCTATCCTATCATTCCCCATATCTAATTTGGCTTGCAACCTTCGAAGAAGTTCCTTGGACAAAAGAAGTGGCGTCTCAGAACCTGGCCCTGGCAAAACAGTGGCTCTTATCGCTAACTGCTTGCCTCCTACACACACAGGAATCAGGGCTGAGACCGAAGTTTTCAAAGTACCCGAATTGCCGAAACGGAACTCATGATTCTCCCTAACGAATCTCACTCGCAGCCCCAATTGCGACAACATCTCTGACATACGCTTCAGAACTGACTCACCCACTAAAGTCCTCCTACAAGCTGTGTCAGGAACCCCATGCTCAGCAAGATCAGCGCACTCAGAAATGTATGCCTCATGAGAGCGCTCGTCCTTGCGAAAATCCGAGCTGATCAAAAACTCTGTCAAGCTACGCTCAAAGTCCCCTTGCACTTCACCTCCTTCATCGATCGCTTCCTGTCGATCTGCGAGAATCACTTCCACGCCGTCTCCATGCTCTGCTAGAAAGATCTCGTACCTTTCCAGCTCATCTACATCCAAGAAGTGTTCCTCCTCGATGTTCTTGTACGACCCATTGAAGTCGTCTGCCACCATAGCCTCATTCGACCCACTGGGACGCTGCTGCCTCGACGCACCTGTTGTTTGACCACGGCGTGGGCATTCGCGCTTCCAGTGTCCTTTTTCCTGGCACAAATGGCACTTCGTTTTGCTCTTCAACATCTCCAGCTTGCCTTTCACTGTCCCACTGAGCTTCCATTGTTGACCAGAATCCGGCTTGTATCCACGTCCAAGTCGTTTTTGCTGAAGTCTCTTCCGGACCTCTTTGTACGTCTCGAACACATCCAGAGCATCTTCATCATCGTATTCCTCGGATGACTGCACCTGGTCAGCCACCGCTTGGAAAACATCCTCGATGAGCTCCTCGCCACCATCCGCTGCAGCATCCGCCGTCACCTCGAAGATCTCCTTGGTGCGGTTGTTGCTTCCCTTGGCGGCACCCTGTGGATATATTGCTTGCACAGCACTGATCACGTCGTCATACTTCAAGGAACCTTTTGTGTGGGTCATTAGCAAAGCTTCCGATGCGGCATCCAGCTGAAGTTTCCTCAAGACAAACCATCCTTTGACCTCTGTCGGCAGCTCCACGCTGTGTTCTTGCAACCGACGATACGCAGAATCCAGCCTCACTATCATGTTTCTGTAGGTTTCTCCAGACTTAATTTGCAACCCGTAGAAGTACTCCTGCAGATGATTGCCAAGCGCTTCCTTACGCTCGTCCAAGGCCTCCAGGATCAGCGTATGGCCACCCTCCTTGGTTATCTTGTCCAGTGGCAGCGCCTCGCAGACTTCTTCTGCTTCTCCCGCCACATACTCCAGCAGTTTTGCTCCCCAACGATCCTTCGTGTACGTGTTGGGAAGCGCTAGCAGCATAAGCTCGGCCTTTCGACGCCAACGTCTATAGGTAGATGGTTGGCTCCCGTCGAACCTCTCCAGCCTCGGCCGCTCCTCGTCTTTCCCCGGACCACTCATTGTACAGGCACCCTAGTAAGCGGACGTCGTGCGCACCAGTTGCCGCCTGATCTTGTCAGTGGCAGTACCAGTGCTCCGCTACCACCTGAGATAGCAAAGACCCCAGGCGGCACACGCGACTTCACTTTTCCATGGCCTTCTTCACAAGAGGCCTGAGGTAACTAAGGGGACCTTCGAACAAAAGGGTCCGCGAGTGGAAAACACAGCTGTCTGAACATGTGATTTCTTAAATCATCCAGGAGTGCTCTCTGACCGCTCGCTGCAATCCGAAAGACCTTAAGTCGAATCTGCACTAATGCTGTCCAGTTTTCCAACTCGGTTGCGAGGTCGGGAAACCGGGGTCTGGGCAGCGCAGGGCTTTAAAAGCATCAACGTCCACGGGGTGCGGGGCTGAGGCCTGCAGGAGGAGTTGCAAGGCTTCTCTTGGCAGCTCCCAGTTGGCGCAGAACCCTCTAAGTGGTGGTGCCGGCGGAAGCACTCGTAGGCATGCCAGATTGTGCAACGACACTGCGCTGTGCTGAAGTAGCTTGTTATGGCTGTGGAGGACTGCGAGCTCCTCGTCGGCGCGGGCGCCCACGGTTGTCACGATGACGGTGCCTCTTGCGGATTCTTGTGGCGGCAGACGAACAGGGTGGTTTCGGCCGCATGGTTCGCCGGACTAGAACTTCAATGCGCAGGCAGCACTTGCACTGTGCATCGCGGCAATTCCCTTCATTCCAGCGAATGCAAAAGGTCTTGCTGCCGTGCTTCGCAACCAGGTCTGTGCTTTTGATTTAAATGCTGGTGCCCGATCCCGACTTTGTGCGTTTGTCAAGTTGGGTACCTGTCTGCTTGCGTTCGTTGTTCTTGCCTTTGCCGTTGCCTTTGTCCGCTTTGCCAGGCTGTGGCTTTTGTGGTGGAGGAGGCGGTTCAGCCCTCAACTGCTAGAGGTTTCCGATGTCTGATCGTACGGTCGTGAGCTCACGCAGGGCATCATCCAGTGTCCGGCCACTGCTGTGCAACTGCGCGATTTCTTGCCAGAGCTTGCGATCTGCTGACACCAGCTCGGACGTCGAGAGACAATGCGGAGCGATGCATCTGTGGGCTGTTGCGAATCCAGGATCTTCTTGTCGAAAGCTTTAAACTTGGGCGTTAGCTCTACCATCTTCTCGATGCCATTCGACGCCTACGCCATGTCGACAACGCGAGGGCTCGCCCCAGGTCCGGTACAGGTTTGTATATGTTTGTATAACAGATCCGGACGTCCGGTACGAGGTTTTGTTACGGAGAAACCATCAAGGCGCAAAAGAGAACAAGATCATCATCGTCATCATCAAGGCAAAACAAGCCGACGATTGACGACTTTTCCAGCAAAAACCTGCTGCTGGCATTTACGACAAAAGTGCATGGGGTGACAAAGGAGACCCACCACAAGCTCTCCCGAACTCACGCATGGAGTTCAACGGTGACCCGAGACGAGAATGAAAATCGCTACCAAGCGATCAGCCTGAGTGGCGTGGCTCGCTCGACCGAAGCGGTCCTCAAACGTCTTCCCGACAGAGAACAAGAAGGGCAGCGCCCGTTTTCCGATCTTATCAGTGAGAGCTTGCCATGACGAATGCTTTCACGTCGATGCCAAGACTTTGTTGGCCGGCTGGGCCTTTTGATTCGCTGCTTCTCGCCGGAAAGTACACCCGGCGTGTCAATCAAAGTAAGCCTGCAGCTTGGCATAGCTTGGCTGGGCGGCTTGGGTGACATCGCTCAGGCTTGCCAGGTCCCTGACCCCTCCAGGACCGGGCTGGACAGCCTCGAGGCTTCCAGCCTGCTCAAGAAAGCGTTGCCGAAGTGACTGAGCCTCAGAAAGCTTTGGTCAGATGGCAGTTCGGCGTCAAGCAAAAAGCAGCATTAGTGACAGTAGCAACTTAAGCATGCGCAGCTGCAGCCCATGAAACCGACGAGAAAACACCAGAGCACATCCGAGACGCGGCAAAGGCTGCAATCCCCAATTAATAATTAATTGCCATTCAAGCATCGTGATTCCAATCTACACTCCCCTTCGGCAAAAACATCTAGAGACTCGACGAGACGACACACACGGCCGTCCACATGAGTCTATGCAGCAGTCAACGTAATTAGCTACGATCTGGCCAACCCTAAGCCCTAAACCCTAAAGCCTAAACCGTGCCATGCATGGACAGCATTCTGAGATATTCTGAGGCTCCGACTGTGTAAAAGGCAGCTCGTGGTCAACAACCAAGGCATTGCCAGGAGTGCTGCGAATTGCGAACGGTCACAGCTGAGCTTCTACGATGTCCAAATGTAAGCATGCCAGCCACACACACTGTCAGACTCCCCATGCAGCACGCACACGAATCGATCTGTGGTGGGTTCTGGCCCGATTCTCATGCCGGGGTAGTCACGCTGCAGGAGGTGGCGGATGAACGTGGTCTTGCCTTCATGTCGAGACACTCACGGCTCACATGCCTCACGGCTTCTCAGCTGAGCGGCCTGTTGAGTACTGGCCCATCAGGAGCACCATCGGTGCAGATGCAAAGTCGGCATCCTTAGTCGAAGGCCCCCCAAAGAACCACAACAGCAACAAGCACGTTGCAACAATCCAGTCTAGAGGAGCGGCTGTAAGTTCCGGGGAGTAGAACTGATGGAAAAGATGATCTTTCTCTATTGGTAAGAGCTTGGAGCGGTAAAAGGCCTGAAGACCGGTCGTCACGGAATCATATACTTGTGATACCTCGGCGAGGTGCAAGCATAGCATTGACAGCCACGAGTACTGAAAGCAGCACCGGCCTTGACACCAGAAGTGTCTGACGAATCCAGCCATTCCAGCATCGTTCATGGACACAACTGACAAGACAGAACCGTTTCGAGCTGCACTGCTTCTCGGACATGGGTCTAGCTAGTCACCTAGCCTGATTTGCGCGACGTTGCGCGTGCAACGTATTTATGCCTTTCAGGCTCAAGCTGTTGAACTGTCAAGCGCAGCAAACAAACGTCTAGGATTTGCAGACTCAAAGAAGCGATCCAAACAACTACAAGGTACATGCACAAGAACTTGGAGCAGCGCACATCACATGTTTTTTGCGGCTGTCAAGAGCGAGGTCTGGCTTCCACATATACATTCGAATGCCTCGGATGCTTCAGGGAACACGTCTGGCATCCTTCTATGCTCTTGAAAGCAGGTGTGCAAACAGGCTGAGCATGGCTGAGCCGGCTGGCCTGTCTGGCCTGGCCTCTGCATAGACCCGACCGGCGTAGGCTTGCAGGTTCTCCGGCTTCTCGTGTTTGCAGGCCCAATCTGGTCTGGGAAGCTGCAGCTCGTGCCACTCCTCCTGTTTCCAAGTGCACGAGAACGACCACAACACTTGTGCAACTAGAGGCTGTCAACAATCGCTTGACTTGGAGACAAATCGTCCCGAAGAGGCATGGCAAACAGACACACACGTTTTTGAATTTAGTCCAGAAGCTCGTCAAGAAAAGCCGACACACTTCCTTCTAAGCCATGCTAACCGTGAAGCTGCTTCAGCACAGTTTATGCTTTACATGCTCAGATCATCACGGCAACAGGAAGGACGCCAAGGTGCCGGTACTTTAGACACCTCAACCATTCAAGCTCTGAGCCCGACATGCGCCTTCACTTCCTCGCTGCGGCTTTCACCTCGTTCTTTGATTCGCTTGGCCTGCACAGCTGGACTTCATACAACATTGCGGCTGCCGAGGTGAATCCTGTCTGAACAGGCCTCCTCCGCATCAAGAATGGCCTGATGCTTCTCCAGCATGTCTACGATTGCATTGCAACCATTTGTCAGGGCAAACGTCATTGCAGTCTGCCCTCGCGCTGCTTTGACGTTCATGTCGGCCTTGTCTGACCGCCCGACAAGCTTGTTCAGCTTTTCAATCTTATACACGCAGAGAAATCGACTAAATGCAGGATGTCACCTCACAGTCCAGCAACATCTTGACACAGTCGGTTCTGTCCCTTCCAGCTGCCCACATGAGAGGAGTAAAGCCCGCCAGGTCTTGAGCATTGATGTCCGCCATGCCTTCAATGAAAGTCTCAATGGCAAGGTCATCATGTTCAGTGACAGCCAAATGCAGAACTCCACGTCCACGAGGGTTTACGGCGTGAACATCGGCACCATGCTGAAGCAGCATCTGGATAGTTTCACAACGTCTTGATGCTGGTATCGCTTCGTCCCAAGTACCAGACTTCGCCAGGAGATGCAATGGCGTCTCACCTTGGCTGTGAGATATGCGGACCCAGGCTGATTGCTCGAAGCCTCGTGTGATGTGTCGGCTTTTAGGCGTTGCCATATGGCCGACAGTAGTCAGTATTCACCTCAAGGCCGTGGGAAGACCCTGACGTGACGTCTTTTGGGCCACACGGACGTGACTGAAGCAACCAGAAACCCAAGGCGTCTCCTGCCGGTTAACACTTCATCTCGTCATCCAAGCAGCCATACTGATCTCTGCCATCTGGATCTGCACGAGCTTCGCACAGAGCCTTGACCAGATAAGGAAAGGCTTTCTCCGATGCCTTGTGCAGAGGCATTCGCCCATGCTGTCCGTGGAAATTCACAGTTGCACCTGTCAAGCATGGAAGTGCAAGCAGCAAGAGGAACTGAATCGCTAGGTGTGAACCCAACAAGCCTCTTTGTACCAGGTCAATGGCTTCTTCTTGCGTCATGTTTTTGTAGGCTGGCTCATCCAAGAGGTCCGGATCAACGTCTGGACCGCGAGGCATGTCTTCCTTCACTTCTTCCCATGTTGGTGGCCTCCACTTTCAGTTCAAAACCGCAGCCTGTCCGCATGTCCGCCAACAAGCAGGAACAGTCTTGCCTTTGAAGCTGGTGCAGCATTCGTCCTGCTGCATCGGCCTCCTTTTTGGTCTGTAGGATCCTGACAAAAGTCAGATGAACACATCGGATGTGCAGGAAGCTGCAAAACGCGAGTGACAAAGTTTAAGGCATCTGAGAAGCTCCGGACGAACATCTTTGACGTAGTTTGGCTGTAGGAGGACTTTCAATGCCTCCTCTTCCGACTTTTCCACATTTGCGGCACCTTGTGACTGAGGTGCCCAGTCATCATCGCTGCCACTTTCCTGCCCACGAACACTTTGTTCATAGAGTGCCAGTGGCCCAACGAGGCTTATTCTTCAGGTGAAAGACTGTAGTGGATGCCGGGATGACACCCACAGCTATACTGCCGGCTTTTATGCACGCAAGTTCGTGCAGGAAGTGTGATTTAAGAGTGGAGGCCACGAAAGCTAAACCCTTCTGTTGGACAAGTGTGCTTCAGTTCACACAGCTGCCGACATCTGCTGACATGGTTTACTCGCCGACCAACCCTCGAAAGTGCCCCTTCTTGTGTATGCCGCAACATAACGAGGAGCCTGACAGAAAGCAGTCGAATCCCTTCCGAGTCGGTAGGCAGAACTGGACAGCTGAGTTGGACTTCCCGCAGGTCTTGGAAACGGCTCTCACTCAATCATATAATCAGGAAACCTCTGTTCGCGCAGTGAAAACCAAGCCAAGGATCATTGTGCACAGAATTCCATACGCTATGGGCATAACAACCATACAATACAACATCGGCTCCATCCACTTCAGTCCGGGACTAGCACTAGGACGTAGAACCAAAATGTGCAATAAAGCAATCTTGAACATGGTATGAAAGGGCCACCTCACCAGCTGCAACTTCAGCCGCTTTCACGGGTTCGTGAACGGGATGCTCTGAATATCCTGCTCCGCTCTGCATAACCGGGTTCCATTCATCTTCATCTTCATCCTCCTCGCAATCTTCATCGCTAGCTCTGTCGTCGTGCTTGTCCTCAACCAACTTGCTACACAAATCCATGTCATCTCGATAGAGGCTGCTCGGCGGTTGGCTAAGGACAACTGAGCCCTGATTTATGACTATCATCTGCGGCGCCATGATCAGGTTGATGCTGCCGAGGTGCCGACAAAAAGTCTAATGCCGTCTGCTCGATGGGCTGCCAATCATGCCAGTCGTCCTCTTCAAATAGCGGCCCGGCCGTCATTGCAGTGCTAACAAGCACAATAAACAGAGAGTGGAAACTACTCAAGAACAACACAGTGTGTTGGATGAAATGCCACATGTTTAAACATGCACACGTGTCCCTGTCGCTACCGCCATACCGCTTTTTCTTGAGTGAGCGCGAAGAACGCATCCAAAAGTGAGACCATTCAGCAGCTTTCTAGCTAAACCCTCACTATCACGCCGCAAATCACTGGGCTTGGCCACCTCTTGCGTGCGGGGTTGGATCTATGCCATGAAAGATGCTCACTTGTATGCCTGTGAATATGCAGTCTCAATAAAATTGTGACTAGTCCCAAACAGTTCAATTGTTTTTTACCAAAGCTTGGCCAGCAAATAACTTAGTTTGACATGCGGTCGGGTTTCGAACCAGAAACCCATCGATAATGAAATTTCGTCTTGCGTGTCTTATCGGCAAACAGCAGAATTTCCACATGAACTGATTCCGCACCCCCCAAGATAGGCAGCAGACCTTTTTGAGGTTCAATATTGGACATTTCTTGGACGAACTATCTGCACAAATTACCAACTTTGTAAGGTACACGCTGTCCTGTTTTCCTGAAGATTTACATACTGGAACAAAAATCTACGCAACATTGCCAACGACTTACAACTTACGCGCCTTTTAATAACTTAGCAAGCTTCTGAGGCTGACAACAATGTAGCCTAGACGTGCTTCCATGCTGGTTTTTGGCTTTGAGTTTTCAACGTTCCACACAAGTTGGATTAAAATCCAAGACCGAAGTTTTTTTCACCTTGGAAAGTTTGAAACTTGGTTCTCAATTTCGCAAATTTTCGATAGAAGCGGAAGTGATGATAAAATCCAGATTCGCATTTAAAGTTTTAAAATTTGTTTATTTGAACACGAAAGGCCACAGCTTTCGGTGCCTACGCCTCAGCGAGCCTGAATGGACTTAGGGCATCTTCCTTTGGTGATCTCATTGTTGTTGATGTGGGCTACGGCCTTCCTTCTCTGGAAACGCCAGAGACTCTGGGAGCCTTTCGGCAATGGACTGAGTCAATGTGTGCGGGCCGTTGCGAGCGATCCTGCACGCAAGCGTTAAGCGGTGTGCGGGCAGAGTATGTGCTCGTGAAGAAATATGATGAGCCAATGTAAAATTCAAATTCTCGTGAATCCCCGTCGCATGATGCACAAAGCTGCGACAGCGTCAACCTGCAGCGGCACCGGCACAACAAACGCGCTTAGGGCTTAGAGAACCCAAAAACAAAATCCCGCGCACGCGTGTTTGGCAAGGTGGCCAAAGAAGCGGCAAGAACCAAATGGTGCAATATTGAAAAGGTTTCCGAGCGAAGCGAGCATGCTCGTGCGCAGGGCAGGGCAGGAGGGCAGCGCAGGGCAGGAGCAGATCAAAAATCAAAGAATGAAAAACTCCGGGCAGAGTATGTGCCAGTGAAAAAATTTGGAGCTTGTCAAACACTCGGGAACAGCGTCCGACGCCCAATAGCACGCGATTGCCTCGGAAATGATGCTCAACGTGATTCCACTGCTCACGTTCCTGCATGGATTACAGAGACGGGATAGCCAGAAGCCCGTCACACACAGCATCGGCCCTTCAACACAGCGTCGATCCACATGTCAAGCCAACATAAAACAACAGTTGAGCCAAACTTGAACCTCGTGTTTGGGGTATCGGGTATGAAGGCTGTTCAGGTTTCCATCTGGCTATTGGGGTTGTGGGCAGAGATTGGCGCCAGGAATTGAATGGTTCTGTGTTCTGGGCTATCCTTCCAGTCCGCCAATTGACGCCTCGCCGAAGTCGCCGCCCTCGGGCGTCAACGCCCCCGCCTGGCCCGGCAACATCATCTTCGATCTTCTTGGCTGGTCGGAACCGCAACTTCCACGCCGTGGCTCCCATGGTCTAGACCCTGTTACCGTCTCGAAGGCGCAAATGCTTCGCCAGGCAGTCTCTGATGCATTTTTCAAGGCTTGGAAAACGCATTTGGAAACCACTTCTTTGGCCTTCTACTCCGAACCAACATGGAGCTTCCAAGCCTCCAGACCTGTTCCGCGCATTCCGTTGCAGCAGCTCTGAGCTTTACCGTTCTTCAACCCGAAAAAAAGCTGCTGCAAATGCTTTAACTCCAGAGAGCCTCTAAGGCATGTAAAACGACATGTGGCATAAACTAGCCGACCGAAACTCAATCCCAAACCAATTCTGAACCCCACTCGAAACTTCGACTGTGTCCTGCAGTCGCAACCAGGGGCTGGAAAGAAAACGAGAGCAAACTAAA